CTAGATTTTGAGGGGCCCGGGTCCGCGCGGGTGTGGGCCTGTGGGGGCCGTGTTGTATGTACTATACCGCGGCCTGGGGTGGTGCTGGGTGGGGGGTGGGGCAACAGGAGCACGCTGACCTAGTGACCTGCGCGACTGTGCCGGCCCGGGTGCAGTGACATGGCCTGGTCCCGCTGGAGGCAGAGTAAAACGCCTTGGGAGGTTGTGAGCCCACTCCATCTGCTCGTCAGCAGCAGCGGTGCACACACACATCTCAAACAAAAAAAAAAGCAGCAGCGGTGGAGCCTTGGTGGAGCCAGGATGACTGATTTAAAAAAAGTACATAAATGATTTTCTTTTTGGAAATATCTTGTGCGCGGTTTTTTTTCATTTCATAAAAACGCAAGTACGCAACTCTCTTGAAGTGGAACAACACCCTGATTTCACTTTTTTTTTGTAATGCTAAGGCAGTCAAAAGCAGCCCAAAATGCGTCGGACGAGATGAACTTCAGCGAAATCTTGTGCTTCTTTGCATGCCAAAGCCTCCAACATCATTGGGTCTGAAATGCAGTGGAACTTCACAGTCGATGACCCGATATAAATGGCTTGTTCGCCGTGGCATATGACACCCACGGCATCATCTCCACCTTTTTGCAAATATTGCACCGCCAACATTCAACTTTGAGTATCATAGACGAGGCGCCGTCCGGCCTTGTTGATGATGGATAGCTACCCTAGTCCCTCTCCTTTGGACTTTCACTATCACACAATGAATGGTTATGAGGAAACCGATTTATAAAAAGATGTGTGGAGAGTGAAGAGTGGAAGTCGCCCTTATGTATCGCCTTCATTTCATGATATTTGGCGCATGGTTGAGGGAGCTCACCTCTAGCCGTTCTTGTATAGGCCAGCCCGCTGCAATGCTAGTTTTCTCCCTGTGATTATCACTCAAGTGGAGCTATCTTTCAGTTTTTTTTCCTTTTAATTTTCTCTTTTCTAACACTAATTAACATTCCAACAGATTTACTTAACTTATTTTTTTCAAAATGACCATCACGCATTAAAAAAATATCTGCAAAACTTAAATTTTGTTAATAGCATTTTAGAAATTTCACGAGATCAAAAATATGATCATGACATTTAAAAAATGTTCATGAAATTTCTAAAATCAACCATCCTATTTTACAAAAAGAATCATCAAATATGTTCAAATTTAAAAAATCTACACATTTTTTAAAAGATGTTCATGGTAGGCAAGAAAAATTTCACTCACTAAAATTAAAAGGTTGACATTTTAAGTGAATTTCAAAACTAAAGAGGAGAAGGAAAATGAAAAAAAGAATAGAAAATAAAAAAATATAGGAAATACAGGAAAAACCAAATGAAACCTTCCAAAAATTGAGAGCTGCTCTGTATCACTCGAAATGGGCCTGCCCATCGAGGGAGTTCATGTCTTCTTTTATCATTTCATTTCTTATCAGTCAGTTTAAAAACCACTGTGACTACAAAAAAGCTGTGAATTGCAAAAAAAAATCATACATATTTAACAAAAAAATTAATTCAGAACATTTTATTTTTTTAGAAATTCTTCATCGATTTGAAAAAATATGATTTTTTTATTTTTTTTATGAATTAAAAATGCTAGTGGATTCAAAGAATGTTTGGGGATGTGATATGTTTTTCATGACTTCTAATATTTCACAGATTCAAATATTGTTCGTGGATTTGGAAAATTGTTTATGAATAAAAATTGCTTACAATTTCTTTTGGAGAATAAAAAAATATTCTTGACTCCAGAGACCATTCCTGGATCTGAAAAATTGTTCGTAAAAAATGTTTGTGGATTTCAAAACATGTTCATGAATTCAAATAAAGTTGACAAATTCATAGAAAGTATAGGAATTTGAAAAATGTTTGTCAATCCAAAAACAATTTTTAGATTTGATAAAAATGTTCATGAACAAGTTTTAAAAATAATAACAATTTTTAAATTTTGTGATCATGTTTTTTCAAACTGGGAAACAAATTTGGAATTCTGAACACTCTTTGGAAACAAGAGTATTTTTTGAGAAATGTGTGAAATTTTCAAAGCCCCCTTTTTTAAACAAACCATTTACTAAAGTTCAAACAAAATTTGAAGTTTATAAACATTTTTAAAAAAACACATGGACATATTTTTGAAAAACCAAATTTTTTTAAAAAAAGGAACAATTTTTAAAGTTTTTTCAAATTATGATTTTAAAATATGAAAAAAATAAAAAATAAGGAAAAATAGAAAGAAACCTAAATAACAAGGAAACAAAAAACAGGTTTTGGTTCCTGAAACCGGTCGTTGATCTGCTCGCTTCGCTTATTCTTTTATGGGCCGATCCATCTTCTTAACGTAGTGTGGGCGATGGGAGCCCGAACGATTGGTATGAGTGATCCATAACATTCATGCCAAACAACGTGTGAAAGGTTCCCAAAACCAATCCTCCCCACCCGACGTAGAAGTTTCCCAAAACCATGGTTGGGCCGCCCCGCCCAATGAGCGATGTGGGCAAGCATTCCATTGATCTGGCAATAGGCGATATATTTCTCTCGGGCACAATTGAAATACTAAAAGAAAAATAAACCGGGAAGGGATTACATGCATTTGAACTTCAATGATTTTTTCAAAAGAAGTAACATTGTTGAGTCTGAAATGCAGTGGAACTTGATGGTCGTTGATCCCCTATAAATGGCATGTTCGTCATGGCATATGACACCCATGTCATCATCTCCACCTTTTGCAGATACTGCACCGTCAACATTCAACTTTGAGTATCCAACACGAAGTGTCATTTGACCTTGCTGACGAGGAATGGCTACCCTAGTCCCTCTCCTTTGGACTTTCACTGTCACACAATGAATGTTACCTAGAAACCGATTTTATAAAAAAAATGCATAGAGAGTGGAGAGTGGAACTCGCCCTTTTTGTATCGCCTTGATTTTAATGATATCTTTTTTAGACATATATGGCGCATGGTTGAGGGAGCGTCAGGTGCTCGCCTCTCCTTGTGATTATAACTAAGTGCAGTAGCTAGCTTGCATTTTTTTTCCTTTTTAATTTCTCTTTCCTAACACGTTTTGTATTCCAACAAATTTACTTTACTTATTTTTTTTCAAAAAATATCTGTAGAACTTAAATTTTGTTAATGGCATCATAAAAAATTCACGTGATAAAAAAATGGTCTTGATAGTTAAAAAATGTTCATGAAATTTATAAATATGATCATGTTTACAAAAAAAAATCATAAAAAAGATCTTTATACCATTTAGAAAAATGTTCATGAACACAAATTTTTAAAAGATGTTCATGGCTGGGAAGAAAAAGTTCATACACTAAAATTAAGATGTTTTGACATTTTTGTGAATTTCAAAACTAAAAATGAGAAGGCCAATTAAAGATAAATAGAAAATAACAAACTACGTAAAAACACAGTAAAAACCAAGTTTGAAAAAATGTTCGAGACTCCAAAGATCGTTCGAGGATTTGAAAATTTGTTCATAAAAAATGTTCATGAATTCAAATAATGTTGACGAATTAAGAGAACGTTCAGGAATTTGAAAAATGTTTGTGGATCCAATAAAGATTTGTAGATTTGATAAAAATGTTCAAGAATAATTTATTTAAAATAATAACAGTTTCTTATTTTAATGACCAATTTTTTGAAATTGGGAAATTCATAACACTGTTTGGAAAACCCGAACATTTTTAGATAAATGTAAACAATTTTGAAATCCTGGACTGGTTGTTTGAAACAAACCATGTACTAAAGTTCGCACAAATTTTGAAGGCATTGGACATTTTAGAAAAACATGGACATTTTTTTGGAAACCAGAACATATTTGAAAAGGTAACAATTTATGATATTGCAAACATTTTTCGAAATTATGAATTAGAAAGTCAGAATAAAAGAAGGAAAAACAGAAAGAAACCCAAAAAACCAGGGAACAAAAAAAAAACAGTTCAGGTTCCTAAAACCGATCGTGTGCTCGCTTCATTTGATCTTTGATGGGCCGGTCCATCTTCCTAGTGTAGTGTGGGCGATGGGAGCCTGAATGATTGCCATGAGTGACCCTTAGCATTTTGTGAAACAATGCACAAAATGTTCCCCAAACTAGTCCCCACTCGACCTAGAGGTTTGCCAAAACCATTGTTGGGCCGACCCACCCGACGAGCGACATGGGCGAGGGTTCCATTGGTCTCGCAATAGGCGTTATATTTCTCTTGCGCACAATTGAACTGCTGGAGGAAAATAAATTGGCAAGGGATTACATGCATTTGAACTTCAATGAGTTTTTCAGAAGAAATAAAAATTTGAAGCTCAAAGCATAGATTGGTCAGTCGGTACCACTCCTTGGTCATGGACTGCTGAGCCTAGCTCAAATGGTGAGGTTCTTTGTGATGCAACTAATCCACTAAAGGATTCAAGTCTTATAGTTAACACTGGTGCTCACATTTTTCTAGATTTATTCCAATTTTTTTGTTGATGTTTGTGCAGTGGGGGGAAACATTCTCATCGGCTACAAAGACGTCTGTGGTGACTTCGACAATTTTAGATGATGCACTGACTCTGTCTCTTGAAGGTGCTCATAGAGATAGGGTGTACGTGCACATGAAATTTTTAAGTGTATATGCGTATATACGAGCGTTTCAGTTTGTACTGTGTGAAAAGACCCAAAGAAGCACCCAAAAAAAACCAAAGAAGAGTAGGACTTGAATAGGCCCAGCATGCTCCACGCCCCGGAAGGCCATCTTCACGCAAGGCCGCTAGCCCACCATTGTCAACCGAGGCCGAGCCAACTGCCAACATACGGCCATGGCCCTCCCGACAAACATGTCACAGGTCACAAGTCACAACCAACGCGCGCAACCAGCTCTTTTGCCGACCCGCGCCGCCGCCGCCGCCGCGCCAACAGTCCGCCATGACGAGGAAGCACGCGGGCACCGGCGTCCTCCGCGCCCTCGTCGCCGTCGCGGCCTCCGTCGCGTCCGCCTCGTCCCGGACGCCCCCGAGGCGCGCCGCGCCCTACCTCGCCGTCCTCCTCCGCCGGGGCCGCGCCGAGGCCGCGGCGCGCCTCAACCGCCACCTCCGCCTGCTGCCTCTCCCGGAGTCCCCCGCCCTCCTCTCGGCGCTCCCCTCCGTCCGCGACGCCGTCTCCTACAACACCGTCCTCGCCGCGCTCTGCCGCCAGGGCTGCCTCGACGCCGCGCTCTTCCTCCTCCGCGTCATGTCGCACGAGCCCCGCCTCGCCTGCCGCCCCAACGCCATCTCCTACACCACCCTCATGCGCGCGCTCTGCGCCGACCGTCGCGCGGGCCAGGCCGTCGGGCTGCTTCGGTCCATGCAGGACTGCGGCGTCCGCCCCGACGTGGTCACCTACGGCACGCTCATCCGTGGGCTGTGCGACGCCGCGGACGTTGACAAGGCCGTGGAGCTGCTGAATGAGATGTGCGATAGTGGTATCGAGCCCAACGTGGTTGTGTACAGTTCTTTACTCCATGGGTACTGCAAGACCGGGAGGTGGGAAAGCGTAGGCAAGGTGTTCGAAGAAATGTCTGACAAGGGTATTGAGCCCGATGTTGTGATGTACACTAGTTTGATCGATAGCCTGTGTAGACACGGGAAGGTAACAAAGGCAGCGCGGGTGATGGAAATGATGGCGGAGCGGGGGTTGGAGCCAAACGTGGTGACCTACAATGTGCTGATCAATTCCATGTGCAAGGAAGGGTCTGTGAGGGAGGCGCTCGATTTGCGGATGAATATGCTGGAGAAGGGCGTGCAACCAGATGTTGTGACATATAACACACTCATCACAGGGCTATCTAGTGTGCTTGAGATGGATGAGGTGATGGCGTTGCTAGAGGAGATGATGCAAGGTGAAACTAAAGTTAGGCCTGACTTGATGACATTCAACTCGGTTATACATGGACTTTGTAAGATTGGTTGGATGCGGCAAGCGTTTGAGGTCCGTGCCATGATGGCTGAGAATGGATGCAGGTGTAACTTGGTGACATTTAACCTGCTAATTGGTGGACTCCTTAGAGTCCACAAGGTAAAGAAGGCCATGAAGCTGAAGGATGAGATGGCTAGTTCTGGACTGCAGCCTGATTCGTTCACCTATAGCATATTGATAAATGGCTTCTGTAAAATGCGGCAAGTTGAACGTGCGGAAAGCCTCTTGTCTGAAATGAGACGTCAAGGGATGGAGCCTGAGCCAGTTCACTATATTCCTTTGCTTAAAGCTATGTGTGATCAAGGCATGATGGGGCAGGCTAGGGATTTGTTCAATGAAATGTATATGAACTGCAAATTAGATGCTGCTGCATATAGCACTATGGTCCATGGTGCTTTCAAATCAGGGGAGAAGAAAATTGCAGAAGAGTTTCTTAAAGATATGATTGATGAGGGACTGATTCCTGATGCTGTGACATATTCTATCCCAATCAACATGTTTGCAAAATCTGGAGACCTGGCAGCGGCGGAGCGGGTGCTTAAACAGATGAAAGCAAGTGGCTTTGTGCCTGACGTTGCTGTATTTGATTCACTGATCCAAGGTTATGGAGCTGAAGGCGACACCGAGAAGGTTCTTGAGTTAACTCGTGAAATGACAGCCAAGGGTGTAGCACTTGATCCTAAAATTATTTCAACTATTGTCACTTCTCTTGGGGCAAGCATTGAAGGGCAAGAGTTATTGCAGAGCTTGCCTGGTTTTGATAAAGAAATATCAAAAGGCGATGCCATTTTGCCCCATGATGTAATGAATATGCTACAAAAACAATGCACCAAACCTGAATCCCCTGCTCCTTGCTGAGCTCTGATCCCAATTCAGGTGCTTGCGTGTATGTTGCCTTCATATTTGAAATCTAATATATGTTCGGTTAGTCTAAATCTGCTAAATGTCTTTGATATTTTCGTCCATTGCTGGAGTATGGGTGTTAGTATATTACTTTCAGCTGGCCGATATCCTAAATTATGAGAAATAACCATATTATAGTCATTGCATGTTATGTACCTATTACCCTCATGATTAATGCAGGATTGCTTAATCTGCTCTTCTCTTCTCAATGTACCAGTGCAGTCTATATCATCCAAGGCAAAGCTGAAAGCAATGACATGTGAGAGTAAACGTACATACTCAAATGATCAAATCTTGCTCACACACTTATTTGTCAGACTCTTGGTTAAGTGGCATCTTCAAATTTCATGTGGTACGACAATTCAGCATCCTTAAAGAGTTGCGGATATTTTGACATGTAGTGGTATGTATCTTCAGATAAACTAAACAGTTGGAGTGTTGACATCAAAGATGGGATGTTCATAAATCCAGCAAGGAGAAATGCCATCTTCACTAGGTTTTAAGATGAGCATGTCCACGACAAAGATGGTTTATAAGGGGCTAACCGCCAAAGCTTGTAGGGGCTTTTCACAGGTTCCAAAACCCGCTGAGGTAGCCTGAACCAAACAACACAGCTGCTCCATTTACCAGGTTTGGTATGGGTTTCAAACCAAACCTGTCAGGCTGTCTATACTGATACACTACCAGGGTGGTATGGTTGCGGCGCACCAGACACTTTGAGCCTGAGTTGCGTGGTGGAGTTGTCGATGGCAGTATGGCACCATCTCTCATCAAAGCCCAAAACCTGCTGCTGTGTTTCCTTGACATGCCACTACCTCCGAGCAAGAGTTTTTCTACCAGCGATGACGAACGGATCAAGAACCATTCCTGCAATCCTGCTTACATGCCAGTCGCTCCGCAGCCAATGTTCCAAAGGCCTTATCCTTGCTGGCAGAGTTAGAGGTGGCCGGTGGGCATCTGTATTGCCAAGGCCTAGTATGGTAATGCTCGTCTCTTTTAGTTCTCCTTCTCTTTGACGAACCAATTTTGTTGTATTTTCATGTACTATATGTGTAGCTTCTTGTCCGGATAAAAAATTGTGATCTAACCTTGTTCCCACTGTCAATTTCTTTTATTGTAATATATTGTTACACTGCAGTACTATTCTTTTGGTTCACATTTTTGTTAAGAAGATAAATGTTCAAAATTTATTTTTTTAGATTACACACATTCAAAATTACTAGCTATGTAGATTGCCTCCTCATTAGTCATTAATATGCCAGAGCTGGATGCAACAAACTCTTAGCTTAAAGTTGTTATTAATACTTTAATACTAGTGTTGCTGAAACAGCCGCAGTGACAGGACGTACTATGTGTAAACTCAGGCTTTGGCAGTTTGGAGAAGACATTGCTTTGGTTACCTATCAAGGCTTGAATATGCGTTTGGTCACCGATCAGCTCGAATACCATGTCTTGTTTATGGACAGAGTTTTGCTCTGTTCTTAGAAAAACTACAAAGGATTAATCCATTTAATTTCTGCGGCCAATTTTCAAGTGTGTTCTTTGTCCTGTTAGGGAAGGGGAGCCTTAGCGCAGTGGTAAAGCTGCTGCCTTGTGACCATGAGGTCATGGGTTCAAGTCCTGGAAACAGCCTCTTACAGAAATGTAGGGAAAGGCTGCGTACAATAGACCCAAAGTGGTCGGACCCTTCCCCAGACCCTGCGCAAGCGGGAGCTACATGCACTGGGGCTGCCCTTTTTTCTTTGTCCTGTTAGGGTTGTAGTGGGAAAGTGAGAGCATCATCTGTTATGTGCTTCCCAAAGTTGCGCTTGTGTTAGTCGGACAGTTCTTTTGGTGGTAGGTTTATACATTTGAGACAAAAGTCTGCTAGTGCGATGCCATACGCTCCGTTATTTCAGGAACATCTTGTTTAAATACTGACTTTGAAGCTTATCGTTTCCCTGAGTAAAATTCTTTGCGCGTCGTTAGAAATTGATTGGATCATTGTGCTCCTTATTTGGTAATTGTATCGAGGGGCGATGATTTCCTCCCTATGCTGGCTTTGGTCTAATGATCTTTGGTACCTTTCAAACATGTAATTACAGCTTTGTGCTGTTTCCCTTGTTTACCTCGTTTTTCTTTCATTTGATCTTTGTGTCTGTCGAATTGCTGTTACTCTCTGTGTCTGTTGGTCTCGAAAAGGAGGCTCATCAGTAGTCAGATAATTCGATCATACAACTAACCTTTGCATTAACTAGTATTTTCCTGGCCGGTGGGCATCTTTATGGCCAAGGCCTAGTATGGGTAATGCTCATCGCTTTTTAGTCCCACTTCTCTTTGATCAACTGATTTGGTGTATTCTCATGTATATTTTGCAGTACTATTCGTATGGTTCACATTTTCTGTTAAGAAGACAACATCTCCAGAATTACTCGCTATGTAGATTACCTCCTCATTAGTCATTATTAACAATAAGTTTGGAGAAGACAGTGCGTTTGGTTACCTATCAGGCTTGAATATTCGTTTCGTAAACGATCAGCTTGAATATCATGCCTTGTTTACTGCCAGAGTTTTGCTGAGTTAGAATCCATTTAGTTTCTGCTATATATTTTTAGGTGTCTTCTTTGCCCTGTGAAGGCTTGCAGTGGGAAAGTGAGGTCATCATTTGTTATGCTCTTTGCAAGTTCCAGTTATTATGTTAGCCAGGCAGTAGGCAGTTCTTTTGGTGGTAGGTTTATACCCCCAAAAAGGTTCAGCTAGTATGATGCCATGCGCTCTGTTATTTCATGAATATCTTGTTTAAACGT